TCCAAAGAAATGGCTATACTGTAGTTACTTTCCATTGTCTTTTATATAAAGCTCATTTTCTATATCTATAAATTAATTCTAATAGAGAAAATATTGTAAAATCTGTTTCTAATTTTATATAATTTGCTATTGCAGATTTAAAATGCTTATTATCACATTTATCTCTATTAGTGCTAAAAAAACAAAGCAAGCAAGCATGAACTCTGCATGGTCTCAAAAAAAGATGTTCTATTTTTTTCCTTTAGTGACAGTTCTTGTTTTTTTTTTTGGCGGAACGGGATTGAACTCAGGCCCTTGCGCTTGCCAGGGAAGCACTTATTCCACCTACCCATCTCCCTGGTCCTATTTTTTTTTTAAAGAGATTATAAACTGTAGAGAGAGCTCACTCTAATGATTCTATTTTTCTTTCACTCTATCTCATTTTTCTTTGTCAATGATTTTCCAGGTGTGTAGTAAATTAACTTTAAAGGCTACAAGTCAGTATTGCTGTACTTGGAAAAGTCTCCAAATACTAATATTCAACTGTCCTTTACTGTACTATTTAAACTTTTTTATAAAAATTCTAAACTTAAGAATAATTTTATAGAGCCATACAGACTGGGGCTAAATATAGAAATTTTTTACAAATTAAATGTAAAGAACATTATCTTTTAAGAAATATAAGTAATTATTATAATTATATTAACAGGCGCTAGATATTTTCTAAGCGCTTATGTTACATCATTCTATATGGCAATATTTCCTTCGTTATGTTCATTCTTTAATAAAGCAATCATCAAAGTAGTTAAGATTACCTTTCCAAGAATGCCAAGATGTATACATAAGTGACAGAGCAAGTATTCAAACAGTATTCAGGTATATCTAACTAGATGTCCCAAGCCAGCAGTCCCTGTCCTTTTTGGTACCAGAGACTGGTTTTGTGAAAGACAGTCTGTCCTGGAGGAAGTGGGGTATAGGTTAGGGAGTGAGATTCGCCGCAAAGGAGAAGGTAACCTAGATCCCTAGGAAGTTCATGGTACTGTTCATGCTCCTATGGGAATCTTTCTTTTTCCTAATATGAAGTTGTTTTTTAAAAGAGAATACAAAATAGTAGTAAAATTTAGAAATCATACAGAGTTTCACTAAACAAAATATATGAATTCGACAGTATTTATTGTACTGCATCAAGTTGTTTTCAACTTAGTTGCTGAGATCACTTCACCTCCTGGGTATTTTTCCAGAAGAACTGAAAACATCATCCCACAGCGATTTATGGGCACCCATGATTACAGCAGTGCAATCTGTCATAGCTATATCCTATGAGAATCTTATGCTACCAATGATCTAACAGTAGCTTGAGCTCAAGTGTTGATGCAAGCTGTGGGCGTGGCCGCATATGCAGCTGTCTATGCAGATGAGCACCACTGGCTTCCCATCCTGCTATGACAGACAAGAATCTGGTCCTTGGCCCTGGGTTTGGGGTGCCCTGCTCACACCAACAAACTCCAAATTCTTTCCCATGTGGTTTTCCTAAGTCCCCTTTACAAACTAACACATTTTGGTGAGAAAAGGATTTCAAAGACAAATAAGCTTAGAAAATTCTGAGTAGTAGAAAATTAGTCATATTATTTTTTTCCTGGAAGGTATCATAATCTTAGCATACTAAAAATATTCAGAATCTTAAAGAAGCATATGGTTAGAGGCAACATATACATTCTGCTATTTTTAGGGAGCCCCCATAAGGGTATCCTACACATTGTAAAAAAAAAAATTGTATCATGTTGTCAAATGGTTCATCAAAGATTGTTTTTATTAACTGATACTACGGTAAAAGACTCAACTACCTAAAGAAGAAAGCAATGCCAAGCTTACCATTGTGCATCCTGGACCACCCATCTCTTTCACAGTCTCTGCCAGATGGTCCATATAGAGGATCAGTCCTGGGACTTGGGGGATCAACCTAGAAGAAGCAGGATTCTCAATGTAAAAGAAGAGCCTACGTGGTTAGTCCTACAAACTCATAACACCAGGAAACTAACTGAAGCACATATACTATGAAACAGGTTAAAAAAAAAAACAACAGTTCTGGTTTCTCCACATTCTCACAGACATCTATTATTTTCTTGGTTTTGTTGGAGGTCTTCTGGTACTTTATTTAATTTGTGGTACTGGGGATATAACCCAAGGCCTCATGCATGCTAGGAAAGCCCTACTGAGCAGTGCCATCAGCCCTGTTTTGTATTTTTTATAGCTGTCTTAGCGTAAAGTGATGTGTCATTGTGGTTTTGATTGGTATTTCACAAATAACTAATGACATTGAATAACTTTCCATGTATTTATGTATCTTATTTAGAGAAATGTATCCTTAAGGCCTCTGCCCATTTTATAATCTAGTGTTTTTGTTCTTGAGTTGTAGGAATTCTGTATATTTTAACAAAATTACTCGTCACATATATGACTTGCAAGGATTTTCACTTATTGCATGGATTGCTTTTTCACACTTTTTTGTACTTCTTCCTCTATGAAGTCAACATTGTTCTTGCTCATTTTTTGACTGGGTCTTTAATTTTAGGTGGTTTAATATTTTTGAGTTCTTTGTTATGTATATTCTAGGTATTAGTCTTCTTTCTGAGAAGTAGTGGCAATAATATTTTCCCATTCTGTAGGTTTTCTTTTTCATTTTAGTGATTGATTTATTTTTATAGTTACAGAAGCTTTACAGTATAACACCATTTTTAAAAAATTGTGGTTGCCATGTCTTGGCAGTTGAGGTACTATTTAGAAATTCTTTTCCACGCCTATCTTGTGAAACGTTTACCCATTTTCTCTTCCAGTAGGCTTAAAATGTTTTCATGTTTAGCTTTGATCCATCTTGATTTTAATTTAGTATATGTTAAGAGATCAGGGTCCAGTTTTCAATCTTGTGCAAAGAGATGACCAGTTTTCCCAGCACTACTTGTTGAATGGGCCATCTTTCCTGAAACATGTTTTGGGCCCATTTGTCAAAGATCAAATAGCTGAATGTGTCTGTTGAAGTTTCTATATCTTCTGTTCCACTGATCCATGGATCAGACTGTGTTCAAGTACAATACCATTTTTAGCACTATTGTCTTGTAATATAGCTCAAAATCAAGTACTGCAAGGCCTTCTGCTTTGCTCTTGTTGCCCCAAATTACTTTTGTTATTCTGGGTCTCTCCCGGCTCCATATGAATTTTAAGATTACTTTCTCTAGATATGTAAAGTATGCTATTTCTATTTTGATTGGGACTATCTTGAATCTGTTTAACTTGAGAGAATGACTATTTTGACAATACTGATTGTGCCTTTCTAGGAGCAGGGGACATCTTTCCATTTTCTTATGTCCTGTTCCATCTCCTCTGTCAGACGATTATACTTTCCTTTGCAGTGGCCTTTACTTCCTTGTTAATTGCTAAATAACTCATTTTTCTTGAAACTACTCTGAGTTGTATTATTTTCACAATTTCCTTTTCTTCCAGTTCATTATTGGTATACACAAAGTGCTAATGATTTCTGTGTGTTGATCTTGTATCCTGCTACCTTGCTGAAATTGGTTATTAATTCTATAAGTTTTTTGGTGGTGTTCTTTGGGTCTTCTATATAGAGTACCATGTCATCTTCAAATGATAATTGGAATTTGTCCATTATGTATCCCTTTTCTTTCTCTTACCTAATTGGTCTGGCTGTTTCAAGCATGATGTTCAATAGAGGAGGTGATAGTGGACATCCTTGTCTTTTCACTGATTTTAAAAGAAATACTTTTAGTTTTTCTCCACGTGGTATGATGCTGGCTATTGGTTTGTCATAACTTTTATCAGATTCAGGTATGGTCCTTTTATCATACCTGTTTTTTTTCAGGATTTTTATTTTCATCAAGGGAGGCTGGATTTGTCAAAAGCCTTTTCTGTACCTACTGATATTATCATATGGTTTTTGACCTTGTTCCTGTTTATGTATTTCATTTATAGTGGTATCTCAGTTCACAAACTCAATTCTATCCACCGTTCTGGTCACAAGTGGAACTGGACAAGAACCAAATCAGATGTTCACATAAGGCCAACACTGAACTTAACCACTGAATTTTATTTGGTTCCTGTCCAACTTGGCTTGGGGATAGAATTGCAGAAAAAATCAAATCTGTGACCTGAGGTACCATTCTATTGACTTAGGTATGTTGAACCATTCTTAAATCTCTGTGAAGAAATCTACTTGTTTATGATGTATGATCTTCTTGATATTGTACTGCATTTTGTTTGCTAATATCTTATTGAGGATTTTACATCTACATTCATTAAGGAGATTGGTCTGTAGTTTTCTTTGAGTCTTGATCCTTTTGGGGATCTGGATTCCATAAATGAATTTGGAAGCACTCCAATTCTTTCAATTTCTTTCACACATTTGAGGTGTACTGGTGATGTAACATCCTTAGACTATGTAAAATTCAGCAATGAAGCCATCAGGTCCTAGGTTTTCCTTAGTTGGTAGATTCTTTATTATTGTGTCAATTTCATTGCTTATTATTGGATTGTTAGGCATATTTATGTCTTCTTGGGTTTCAGTAGTTTGTGTGTATAGGACTCTATTCATTTCTTCAAAATATGCTAATCTATTAGAACATAATTTTTAGAAAAAGTATCATATGCTGAAGTAGCTACTATCTTCTGGATCTTGACAGTGTCTTCTATAACTTATTTTCTTTTATATTTCTAGTTATACTGATGTCAGTCTTTTTTTTTTCTTTCTTCTCGTGTTAAGACTGGCTAAGTGTTCTTTTCTATTTTATTTCTCTCAAGGAGAGAGAAATTCATTGAATTTTTTAAATGTCCTTTTTACTTTCAATTTCATTGATTTCCATTCTCACCTTCATAATTTCCTTCCTTAATTTCAGTTTGGGGCTAGTTTGTTGTTTTTCAAGTATCTTCAGATTTCTCATAAAGTTATTTACACTAGTACCTCAGTTTACAAATTTAATTCTTTCCAAGACACTGTTTGCAAACCAAATTGGATGAAAACCAAATCAAATTCAATGGTTAGCTTCAATGTTCACTATATGGGGAAATCTGATTGTTACCATTCAATTCAGTTGGCAACCAGAATCCTGGAAAGAAGTAAGTTTGTAAATGGAGTTACTACTGTTTGGGGGCTTGTTGTTTTCCAAATGTGACCACTGATTGTCATGATCTTTTCTCTTAGAAGTGCTTTCATAGCATGTCAGGGGTTTTGATGAGTTACACTGTCATTTTCATTAACTTTTAGAAAAATTTAAAATTTCTTCTTTGGGCCATGTACAGCTGCTGCTCGAAGATAAACCCTCTGTGGAGCACCATGGTCATCGGAGGCTATGCAGATGGAGAGGGCTTCCTCAGTTATGTGGACATGCTCAGTGTAGCCTATGAAGCCCCATCGCTGGCCACTGGTTATGGTGTATACTTGGCTCAGCCTCTGCTTCAAGAAGTTGTGGAGAAGCAGCCAGTGCTGAGCCAGACCGAGGCTCGAGAGCTAGAAGAATGCTGCATGCGAGTGCTGTACTATCGAGATGCCCGTTAATTGAACTGGTTTGAAATTGCCACTGCAACTGAAAAAGGTGTGGAAATAGAGGGACCGCTGTCTGGAGAGACAAACTGGGATACTGCCCATATGATCAGTGGCTTTTAATGACATAGAGATGCATTACCTGGAACTGAAGTTGCATCCTTTAAGATGGCTGGTTCAAAGGTAGACTTTTGTAAAATAAAGTGGTTCTTCAAAGTGGAAAAAAATAAATAAATAAAATTTCTTGATTTCTTCTGCGACCCATTGATTGTTTAGAAATAGGATGTTAATTTTCCAAGAGCTTCTGCTTTTTCCAAAATTTCTTCTGTTGCAGATTTCTACTTTTAATGCACAATGGTGTCACAGTATGCATGAGGTAATTTCAATCCTTTTTTATTTAAGCTGGTTTTGTGTTCTATTTTGCAAAAAGTACCATGTACTGCTCAAAAGAATATATATTTTGTTGTAGAAGGGTGGAATTCTCTGTATATATCTAGTAAATCCATACGCTCAAGAATATGATTCAGCTCTGTTATCTCTTTACTGGTTTTCAATTTAGTTGATCTGTCTCTTGCAAAAGTGGTGTATTAAAATTCTCTACTATAACTGTGCTAGCACTTATTTGATCTTTTAATTTCAGCAGTTTCATTTTATGAAGATATGTGATGCAGTATTTGTTGCATATATTTTATCCATGTTATCTCCTCCTGTTCCATTAGCTAATATATAGTGATTTTCTTCATCTCTTCTAATCAGTTTCAGCTTGAAGTTTACCATGTTTGATATTAGAATTGTTACCCCTGCAATTAATGGGAGTCCTGCTTTTGGAGTCCTGTTGTATGAAATGCTACTTTCCATCCTTTAATTTTTAGTCTATGCATATTGTCTTATTTTTCTCTCATTGCTGAGACAAAATACCTGACATCCAAAGTTAATGGAGGAAAGGTTTATTTAGTTCAGTTTGTGAATGATTTTAGTCTCTACTTGGCTGGACCCCAAGGCTGGGGGGTAACACTGTAAGGCAGCAGAAGACAGCAAAAGCAACAAGCAGAGAGGGGAGGGCAAGTCTTTTTCTGCCCCTTATATTATGTACAAGCTAAACACTTTAGGGTGGATGTAGCACTTAAACCTTTAATCCAAAAATTGGGATTGGATCATGAATCAATCCCAACTCTAGATTCAGCCACCTTTATAAAGCCTGCTCCCCAGTTCCTATGATTGCATGAGGCTTTGGGGGAACATCTAACACAAACAATAACATATATCTTCTTGGATTAGTTGAGTTTCTTGAAGGCAAGACTGTTGGATTTTGTTTTTTGATTCAGTTTGCCAATCTATGTCTTTTAATTCAAGAGTTATGGTTGTTAAGAAAGAGTTAACACATTGCTGAAATGTGTTGATTGTTTACTATTATTGCTAATGATTATAATGATCATTTACTACCATGGATAATCTGCTTTACTTTTTCATTTCTCTCTCTCTCTCTCTCTCTCTCTCTCTCTCTCTCTCTCTCTCGGATTATTTGAGCTTTCCATAATAATTATCTTATTCTCCGTACCAGATATTCTGTCTCTGCATTAATCATTTTTGCAACTTTTAAATTCTATGTATTTTTTTAAGTTCAGGTTTTTTTTTTTCATGTATTTGGTTGTTGCAGGGTCTCACTATGTATCTCAGACTTGTGGTGATCCTCCTGTTTTCATTTTCCCCAGCACTGGGACTACTGGCATGTATCACTACACTCGAACTCTGGCTGGCTCAGCCTGCCCTAGAGGTGTGGCTGGTGTGGCATGTGGCACCTGGGGATCGCTTGCCTAAGCTTGCCTAAGCAGGCACTTTAATCTGCTGAGCTATCTTGCCAGCCCAACTTCAAGTATTTCTGTCAGACACCTTTTTGAGGATTCCCTATCTTTGTCGACTCTGTAAAAATATGGAGCATCTTATGAATTTATATGTCATGCTTGTGCAGGGGCCATGCTAATAATCTTTTCTGTATCATTCCAATTTAGTGTATATGCTGCTGACACTAGGACACTTTCTTTTCAATTTAATTTGTAGCTGTAGGGAAACAAAATTAAAGTTTTTCTAACGTGCAAGGAAAACATTATGTGAATATGTTCAAACAACAAAAAAGTGACTAAAACTTATAATTAAATTCATCAGAAATAAAATATA